CCTAAACCCGTAAACCCTAAACCAAGGCGCTCGATTTTGCAGAGGAAGCTGTTCCCTTCTTCCGTCTGAAAGCTGCAGTCATCTCGGACCAACTCCTGGGTTCTGTTTAGGGTTTGCGGTTTAGGGCTTTAGGGCTTTAGGGTTTAGGGTTTAGGGTTTAGGGTTTAGGGTTTAGGGTTTAGGGTTTAGGGTTTGCGGTTTAGGGTTTTAGGGCTTTAGGGTTTAAAGGGTTCTCTCTGGGTTCTGCCCAGAGACTCCAAAACCCCATAACTAAGGAATATACCTTAAAATCTTACTAGGGCTCCTATTATAGTTTAAGGTATATTCCTTAATTAAGGAATATACCTTAAATCTTATTAATTAGGGTTCCTATTATAGTTTAAGGTATATTCCTTAATTAAGGGGGCTTTGGAGTCTCTGGGTGAAGCACAGCCGACTCCCGAACCCTTTCATTGAGGGGCATGAGAAGGATTCCCACCAAAAAACCCTAAACCCTAAACCCAAAAACCCGAAACCTTAAAGCCCTGAACCCAAAAACCCTAAACCTTAAAGTCCTAAACCCAAAACCCTAAACTTTAAAGCCCTAAACCCCAAAACCCTAAACCCTCTAAATTAGGGTCCCTTTTTAGGTCCCCGACATAGTACGGCACCCTTACAAAAAGGACCCCCAGAAAGGGACCGAAATGCAGAAAACTACCCCTTTGGGGCATAGGGTTCAGGGCTGTTGAGTTTCCAGAAAACGAGGGTAAGACTATCTTTAACAGAAGCTCACATTAGGGTTTAGGGTTTAGGGTTTAGAAATTGTGCCTACGTTGGGAACTTAGCTGCGCCCAGATTCTGCACAGTCCCGGGTCCATCTCGAAGTGACTTTACTCTGGATCAAAGACCTGCCCGTGGCCTGGCAGTCCTCAACCTTTTCGGCGGTGCCACAGCCGCAGAGGAGGTAAAGTGTCGCCCAGCAGTGCGGCGAGAGGCGATAGTGATGCATGGTATGAGGTATCAGAGAGCTGTATACCCCAGGCGGTGTATACTACGTAAAGTGAAGCAAGAAGCATGAGCAGCTGCGGCGCAGCCCTGAGCCGTTTGGGAAGGTCTTAAGAAATCGGTGTTAGAAAGGATTCTAGAGGGGCTTCTATACAGGAGCTCGAAAAGCTTGAAGGGGCTATTTTAGGGTTTAGGGTTTAGGGTGCTTGCAAGATTTTACACTCGAGTCAACTGCCCAAGCGCCCGGTGCATAAGCGTGAATGCTCTGCAGTTTAGTCTGTCAGACGTACTCGTCGTGCTGCCTCTATCGAAACCCAGAAAAAAAACGTAGCAATTTGGGGGAGCGTGTTAAAGTTTTACAACCCCTCCTGAACTCCCACCCTGAATCCTGGAATGACTGATAGAACCCTATAGACGCCCTCAAAAAAAGACTTTTCGACCCCTCCACCTACAAAGGTTTAGGGTTTAGGGTTTAGGGGTTTAGGGTTTAGGGTTTCAGGGTTTAGGGTTTAGGGTTCCCCGGCCCGGATGTGCTCTGCACCTGCCGCAACTCGGCGGCCAGGGGCGTCTCGCCCGCGAAACTCAAGGCTTCCAGCATGGCCTTCTTCCTCTGCAAAACAAAACCAGATGCTTTGGTATAGAAGCTTTGTCTAGGACTGTCATAAGGGCTTCATGACGGGTTTGGAATGGCGTTATAAGGGTTTTTGCCTTAGTTTCGGCAAAGATTTTATGAAGGCGTTGCAACTTTTTTGTTTAGGGGTTGGCCACGACGCAGACCCTGTGGCACACATGCAACCGCAACTCCAGACGGGCAAAGATCCTTCACAAACGCAGCGTAGAGAGCAAAGACGGCGTGAACCCTGACATGTAAGATGTACTTTGAAGCCGCAAACAGGCCAAGCAAGTCCCTGAGATCGGGTCACACAGCCGTCCTCCTGAGACCTTTGCATAGTTCACACCCTAAAACCCAAGTCGAAGACCCGAGCAACTTGAAGCCCCACGAGCACGAAACCTCCCAAACAAGAACCAGGCCCAGAGCCCGCAATCCCAACACCCTCAACCCTGATTACAACCCCAGAACCCTAGAAGCCCTGAACTCCTGAAGCCGTTAGAATCTCAGAACCGTCAAAAACTCCCTTGAAAATCCTTGAAAAAACCACTTAACTAGACGTCAAAAAACCCTTATAAAAACACTTAACTAGACGTTCAAAAACCCTTAAAGCAACCCTTAATGCCCGAGCCGTACGTCCGATGGCCTGGCGCACTCGTCGCAGCCACAGCCGGCCATGCTTGATCATGCCCATTAAGTTTAGGGGGTTTTACAAGGGCTTAGGGGTTTAGGGTTTAGGGTTTAGGGTTTTATAAGGGCTTAGGGGTTTAGGGTTTAGGGTTTAGGGTTTTATAAGGGCTTAGGGGTTTAGGGGTTTAGGGTTTCCTTAAGGCTTTTCGTAAGGGTTTCGTGCAGTTTCCGTTCGACAGGGCGGTGTACGATGCTATGCTGTACAGGGTCTTGTAGAGCTTCATTCAAGGAAGGTCTTCTCGGGGCTTTTGCGCGTTTCCAGGAGTTAGACTTGCGGGTCCTTTGGAGAATCCTTGTATACAAGATCATACTCTAGCTTCCCCAGTAGCCCCTTGACAAGAAGGGTGTCTCTTTTCCTACTGTTTGGTGTTAAGAAGGGAACCCAAAACGACAAAGGGCAAAAGGGTACTACTGGGGAGCCGAGCACGTACTTCTTTGGGGAGGTCTGTTGAGGTACCCTACATTCAGTGCTTAACGGTTTTACGCCTCTTCTTCGGAGATGTGCGCAACTTGCTCTCCACGAAACTTCCTTGCTTTAGGGTTTAGGGAGTGGTTCTTAGGGCTTAGGTTTAGGGTTTAGGGTTTTGGGTTCAGGGTTTAGGGTTTAGGGCTTCGGGGGGAAAGGCTTAGGCTTCCAGCCTTGCTCCATGTCTACCTTCCCCACGCTTTAACAATTGAAGGTCATCGGTGTCGTCGAGTTCTAGACCCTATAAACTTAAAGTCTAAGCCCTCAAACCCTAAACCCCTAAACCCTAAACCCCTAAACCCTAAACCCTAAACCCTAAACCCCTAAACCCCTAAACCCTCACCTCTAAACCCAGGAGGAGGAAACCTTGAAACGAAAAGATTGGGCTCAAAGAGTCGCAAAAGTCGCCTTTGGCTCAAGATCACCCGTGGAGCCGGAAAAAAAGCCCATGGAGAGAGGCTGGGGCTTAGTTAAGGCTTGGGGTTTATGGTTTTAGGTTTAGGTTCTAGGTTCTAGGTTCTTAGGGTTTAGGGTTTAAGTGCAGGGCTTGCGGTTTAGAAATTAAGAAATGAAAAAGAGCTGGCACTAGACTAGGGTCCCTTGAAGGGTTCCTCTGAGCGCTACTAGACCGTTTTGGTGTAATGGTTTCTAGTGGGGTTCTGGGTGTGCTTTATGCAAACATCCAATAGGGAGCCCCAAGGAGTAGCACTACTAATTCTTCCGACCGCCAAAAGTACCCTCGAAGGAGATAACCATTCAGACAATCCTATAAACACCTCCCAGAAAACCCTTGAATGCAGTGGGTGCAAGCTCAAGGCAAAAAGCAAAGACGATCTCCATGGCTGAAGCCCTAGAGGTGGATCTCACATACTCCATTCTTCTGGCGAACATGCCATGGCGCAACACAAGGCATGTTGGCATTCCAAAGGGAAAACTAGGTTAGGTGTTGATGCACATTGCTTCTACCCAGGCGGATAAGCGGATGTTCAAATCATTATTTCTCATCTCATCTCATCTCATTGTAAGAACGAGCACATTCATCAGCTGTCGTCGTCGTCATAGTCATCGTCGACGTGCTCTGTCTGGAAACTCAGGGGAGCTTGTAGTGTAGGAGCCATAAGAATTGGAATAGGGTTTTGGGGTCCATTATTGCTTGTGCCAAGCAACCCTAAGGAACAGTATTGGTAGTCCTAAACCGCGATTAAACCCCCTAAACAACTCACAAAGCCCGCAAAGGAACCGCAAGGAATAATATGGGCCAACATAGGTGACGATTTCCCCCAAGGGTCCATGTACCCAAATAGTATATACTTTGGCCCAAAATACCTGCAAAGTATATACCCCTTGGGGTAGCCCTAAACTAATTGATGTCAAACCCTGGAACCTAAACCCTAAATCCTAAACCCCCGAAACTAATCTAAGGGTTTAGGGGTTTAGGGTTTAGGATCTGATGTCCCAGGTCTTCTACAGTACTTCTCGCAAAGGCCGAGGACGAAGCCATGACAGCTCTGGCATTTCCACCCAATGCATCCTGGGGGTCAGCACAAGCTTGCTTAGGGTCTCTGGGCTTAAGGTTTTACGGTGTAGGGTGTAGGGCTTATGGTTTTAGGGTTTAGGGTTTAGGGCTTTCGGGTTATAGGGTTTAGGGTTTTAGGGTATTAGGGGTTTAAGGTTTAGGATTTAGGGTTTGGGTTTTGGGGGCCTGTAAAGCCCTAAACCCTCATCCCTAAATCCGAGATCGGGTTTTGCCGAACAACCCAAAATCTCCAAACCTGCAATCATACACACTAGATCACTAAAAGTCACACTACAATGCCTGAGTCCATGAAACGTTGCTAGTTCTAGTACTAGTAGTAGCAGCCGTAGTAGTAGTAGCAGCAGCAG